CTCTGAGATTGGCGCCATGGCTGAGTGTCTGCAATTGACGGCATACGTGTTTAGGGTCTCCCAAGATTTGATAGAGTAAGATGATATCGCCGCACATCCTTCGGTAGCGGTCATTGAAAACTCCCAGTGACTTCAGCCATTGATGGTAGGACAGATTTCGTAGACCGTTGAGGTTCTTTGTGGCCCGGCGTTGTGGTTTCTCTAGCACTTCCAAGCCGCGCTTCAACCAGTGTTGCCAAGCTTGGATGGCGTATTCAACATGAGGGTGCACGTAAGAATTGCGCATGACGGGGAAGATAGATGGGTCGATTCTTTCGAACGCTCTCCGCAGCAAGCCGACGTGTTGCTTGGCTCTCTTCGCAGCTGCCTCTGACTGTTTTGAACAGTTAAGCTCACATTGAATCAGCACACCAAGGTCGCGTTTTTGGGAAGTTATTTGCAGTACATGTGACCCAAGCCTATACACGTAGTCGTGCCTATGACGAATTAAACAACGTGGCTTTTCCGACATTGAACGGTTGTGTATTCGGAACTGACCAGTTTGAAATCATGTTGAAGTCACGCCGGAGCTTTTGGTGATCGTTTAGTTCTCTGGTCACTCGCCATAACTTGAGCTCACCAGCGAAAAATTGGAAACCGGAAGTAACTTCCCACGCCAGATCGTTTATGGAAATAAAAAATAGCCGGGGCCCAAGCACACCGCACTCCACCTTGATTGCCTCGGACAAAGATTCTCGTACTCTCACCTCCAACCGACGTTTGTGCAGTTAAGTGCCTATCCAACGCAGCAGTAGGTTACCAATACCAAAGAGTCAAAGTATATGGAGGATAATTCGGTGGTCTAAGCGATCAAACACCTTTGAGCAGTCCAGGTAATTGACATCGACCCATGCTCCAACAGCAACTGATTCAGTCCAGCTAGTGCGCTCAAGGAGCAGGTTCGTAGTGCGTGAGTGTTTTTGTCAGAAGCCGTGTTGCTTTGGTGCTATCATCTTGTGATTTGCCAGATACTGCAAGAGTGCATCAGTGACGATAGACTCCATAAGATTTGAAAGCACAGGGAGCAGTGTTATCAATCGGTAATTGCGACTACCTCCCTTATGAATAGGAGTGATTACCCCACGTGTCCATATTGTTGGAATATGGTTCTCCTTCATACAGCGCTGATAGAATATAGCCAGTGGTTCCGCCAGATCACTGGCTGCTGCCTGTAAAGCCTTCGGTCCAATGTTATCGACACCAGGAAAGCTGTGAATACGCGACGACAACAGTTTCATTGACACACTCTGCGGTAAAAGTAATATTGGATAAAGCTGGTGGGAAACAGGGATAACCGTCGGGCCTGTTATGCTCTGGAACGTTTGCGAGTAATGGAACCGTAAGAGATCGGCTGCTTCCGTTACTGATCGTGTGCATCCGTCAGTCGTGATCAGTGCTGGAATTCCACGTTGCACCTTACGAAGGCCAGTAACATGCCTGTATGAGAGTTTGCGGTTTGTGCAGAATCTCTCCATTAACTCCTGCTGATGTGTCACCTTGTCCTCGCGGATCAAACTCACACAGAATTTACGCTGTGTTACATAGGCAGTCCAGATTTTGGAATTCGGGGAGTCCTTGTGAGCTCTCCATGCTAAGTCCCTCAAGGACATACATTTGCGTGTTCTGCTCCTCAGAAATGACTTCCTTCTCGTTTGATGATGGAAGGATTTCTACTCAGACGCGTGCGTTACCAGTGTGCTGAATGTCCTTGTGAAAGTGTCCCAGGCGATTTCCGGGGTGCAATCAGTTAAGAAGGTCCAAAATACCTCCTTAGCAAGTGCGGATAACAAATTGTAGTGCGTGACCTTATACACTTTATTATCATCTTCCTCAGGATATTCCGCATAACATACATAGTTGAACAGTGGAGTCACGTGGTCACTGCGACCCAGTGGTGTGCTTGTAATTATTCCGTCTACCATAAGTTCTTCGTTGGTGAACACAAGGTCAAGTTTCGACGGTTTGTTAGCAGTTCGAAATCTGGTGGGAGAGGTCACGTGGTTGTGCAGAGGGTAGCTGGAAATTACCTCTTGTAAACAGGCTATGAACTGCATCCAATCGGTCGCCGCTATTTCCAGATCGTGCACATTAAAGTCGCTTGCGCTGAGAAAGAGACGGTATGTCTTGCTCAAAGCAACCTGAAGTACGTAGTTTAGTTTGGAGTCAAGTTCACACGTAGACTTTAGTGGACGATAAATCACAGTTATAAGACATGTGTCTTTGTTCCGTAACCATAGCCGGCACCAAAGCGAATCTGGGGCACGGATCTCTGGGTGGTCAATAACTTCACATCGAAGGTTAGCCTTGTAATACAGAATTACACCACCACCTCTTTCAGCTCTGCCATTCCCAAGCAGTGATATACCAGGTAAATTGACCTCAGAATCTGCTACCTCAAGGCTTAACCAGGTCCCGTTAATAGTTATGAGATCCCGCGAGTATGACGACTGGCGTTTTCTAAATTCGGCCAACTTACGAAGAAGACCTTGAGCGTTAGTATACAAAGATGATAATTTTTTGATGTTAGAAGCGTGTGGGTAGACAACAAATTGGTGGTTAGTGTTAAGCCGACCGTTCGTCGGTCGCCTGTTAATCGTTTTTACGTGGGTCATTGGTCCTTAAATTTCTGGCAGGCTGCATGAAAGCACGGAGCATCCCAGATCGAGGTGTTCTCTCGTGTGTCTCCCTGTCCCGTCAGGTGTCGCGAGTGTTATTCTGTCTACCACTTTCCAGGATGGTGGAGGCAAACATATTATTGAGGTTGCATGTTCCAATGAAGTGCTGATAACCAGTGGCAGTACGGCTGCTATCTTTTGCCTAATATCGGTAGGAAACCTGGAGCGATATTTCAACCAGCTATCGAATAGGAGTTCTGTCCTTCCTACGGAATGTAGCACGACTTCAATATTTTTGGACCGCAGCCCTTGTAGTTTAACGATGAAGAAATTCTCGTTAGCGATTTAGCGATGATGTGATCCAGCAAATGTTTCGCAGATTCAGCACCACTGCTCTCCGTCATGTTTTTGCGATGCGTGATCAGGAGAATTCAGGAACACCATGAACAAATACGGTTTGCTTGCTTTCGTTCGTAGAAGGGCCGCCATGAATTTCTTTTTCCTTTGACCGTCCTTTCCAAAGAATATCGGGTAGTATGCATACCTCGCTCGATGAGTTGTGAAGATGAACTGCTGAGAGTAGGACTATTTTGGTCTCCTCAGTTGTGTTCAAGGTTACTCGAAGCAATCGGGGTTCGCCGTAGTGCATTTCATTTGGGGGACGCGCTAGGTGTCTTAGCGCAGTTGGCACAGGCCAAATACCAATTGCATCGCAGATGGAGTTCCATTGGCTGCGACCATCTAGTAACGTGCCCTTTATTGTGCCAGATCTGGACTCACGAACATTAGTGCACACAACCGTTAACGCATTCCGATTCTCTTTAGCGAATGTCGGTTTGAGTGTTGTGGCTGGTAACTTGGATTGGATGGCAGTACTACAGAACGTTGGAAAACGGCGTCGCATCGCTCGTGCTTGGTCGAGAAAATGGACTTACGGGTGTCTCTTTAGATGTTTTTATCGAGGCGATCGATGTGCATGTTACCCTGCTCTGGAATTACGGTGTTGTGGACAACTCGTGAGGTATGGCGTCTAGGGATGAGACAATAGCAGCCACGCCAGGTGTAGCTGGGCTACGTAAAAGGTTAGTAAGTGTCGGAGTAGGTGGCACAGGTACCGTTGGGCGGTAAGAAAGCCTGAATTTAGACTTCGACTTATGAACAGAGATCTGAGGGTTTGCTGCGGAACAAGATGGGTGTTGTTAGCTTCTAGTGGCAAAGTCCTGAAGTTCGCCATCTGCTGGTCTGTTTCAGTCAATTTTTCACACGTTTCACGAGCGATATTATACACTTGACTATTGGGATTGCTCTGCATGTTGGGCAAAACCAGAGCGCATCAGTCAGTTTGATTTGTCTCTTATATTGTAGACGACTTAAACCAGCACAGCGGGGGTATAACGGAAGGCCGCAAAAGTCACAAATAATGCCTCTCCTGACTAGGCGTGTACAACTCTGCTCACCACATTTGAGGTTTGGTGCAGTCAATCCCATTGAGGGCCGTTGTTACAGACGCACGTGGCCCTTGTCCGGTCACGTTAGGTAGAGGGCGGGTGACGCTCGTGTTCTTTGTTTCGGTCGCACACTCGACGTCGGTTACCTTGGGTGAATGTGTTACGACGAGGACACACGCACACGTAGTTTAGCGAACTTATTGATCCGCACTGGTTCCTGTGGGACAAAGCCGTTGGAATTGGCTTGTAGTGGGTGGCGGACAGCGAAAAGTGCCGGCGATGAGCGAATGCAATTGAAACCACATATTGAGTCGTAGCTTCGTTGGAAATGATCCTATGAACGTAATTCTAGGAGCACCAGATAAGGCCGAGAATCCTTGATCGATCGCAATATCGCAGCAGTGAAAACTATTAAAAACAACAGGGTGGCGCGTCTGGATAGAAGCACGGAGCGCGCTCAAACAACCTGGGTAGCACAAATCACGTTCCGTAGGAAATAATCCGGTAAAAATATGCCCACTGAACACGGCGAGTAATTTCCATTAGAATGAGTGTATGATGACTGCGCTAGGTGAAGGGAAAGGCGTGAAACTCTGTGACAAACTAGGGCACGTTTACTATGCGACCAGCCAGGGACATCGTTAGATGCGGGCCCGATTCGTAACAGTTCGATACGGACAGACATTTGTACTTGCATGCCATCGCAGCCGCGTGGAATATATTAGCTCAAACATGTTTTTCACAGATACAGCAAAACAATGTCAAACTTTAATAACTATTGTTGAAATGTGTCTGACAATTCACTAATGTTGTTATCTTATGACCACACCTAGACAGATGTGCCTGGAACTTTTCGAGAATATATTTATTTATTTAAATCGATTGTCTTTATTTTCAGGTGAAGCTCTGGCGTGTTTGCTATCACGTCAAATCCAATCCCTTTCCCATATCTTGGTCTGTCAACTTCAGCAGTCTATGGAAGATCTACGGTGAGTAAATGCCTTATGCGTGTTTGTAAGCAGTAGGGGGATTTATTAAGTTTTCATGTAGGTTCGTTGCAGTCAGACACAGGCAGACAGCCACCACACATCCAGGAAAGCGCTAGACGGTCGTTTCGTCCTACTGGGGCTCGTCAGTAGCGCCCACCCGCCGAATCATGCCGGATTCGAACCCACGATCTTACTCTTGCAAGTCAGCGACTTCTGGCACTGAGCCATGGGCGATGGCAACGGACCGCCATGACTGATATCTAACTGAGAAATAGCGCGGCTCATCCTCCACTGTCTTGCATGTTATGAATGTGCAGAGGATAGGGCTGGCCCCCACAGCAACGACTTCCTTTGCAAGCCTTATGCGTGTCTAAAGTTTGAACAAATAAGTGACTGGATAACACAGCAAAGGAATTTGCCTGACGTAATCAATTAATGTGTGTTGTTGATAGATTTCCCCACTTAAAATCCGAAGGGGATAAATGGGACGGGATGCTTGGAACTCTGACGGCTGGTTGAGGCCTGTTTTAATGCATCATACAGTATTGAACAAATGAGTATAAATTTAACGAATTTAGCAGACATTTTGCATATTTCTTCACATTCGTACACGTCGAATGATTTTATTGTAAACCGATTATATTTCCAAGAAATACATATGTTGATTAGAAATGCATCAAGATTAGTATTTTGTAAATGATCCTTCGGTAATTTTCAAGGAGTTAACAAGCAAAGGAACGAAGTGAATGTGTTCTTTACGACGTTCAGTCATGCTTTCACTGCGTGCCCAGACCTCTATAATTTCTGCAATGAGCTGCTGATTATTTGTAATAATAATTGCTTCATCTCTGATTTTGGAATTGCCTACAGATGCTATTGGATTCATGTCAGGGCTATTTCCAGGTTATAACAACACTTTAATACCACAACCCTCAAGAAAACAGGTTACTTTGCGCCCTCTGTGACACGTAACCCTGTCATGCATGAAAATGTAGTCGGTTGTCTTTGTAAATCATTTTTCTTTGCCCATTCACACAGCTGAGGGATCAGTTGGTGTTCTAGTAGGGTTTTATGTTGCTACTCGTTCATGTTACCATGGAAGGTGTAGAGCCGACCAGTTCCCTAGATGCTCATAACGTCCCATATCTTGCTTGACTTGTTGAACGATAGAGTCTACCCACATCTGTGCTCCAGGTAATCGCCGGACATATAGAGGTTACTGGTAAGAGCACAGGATGATATACTCATCGCTGAAAATTACCTAAAATAAAAAAATAGAAATGCTGTCGGTAATACCCAAGCAATGTAGGCACAATTGTTTTTTGAACCCCCTATAAAAATAAAGCTTTTGCTGCTTACCCGCTCCCAGCCTTCGTTTTACCATCTGTCAAAGTGCTTGGCCTATACCTGTCGTTTTTCTTTCATTTGTTTGGTCAACATGTGCTTTCTTATAGGTCTGCAAGCTCAAAGTGCAGAATTTAAAAGTCGTCTTCTAACAGTTCTGGAACCTACTGCAACACCATGCTGCTCTAACATCCCTTGTAGCTGTTTGCTAGATGTTTTGCTTTTCTTCCGACATTCCCAAAGCAGAAGTGAGTCGTCTCGAGCTGTCGTAACTTTTCTGCGACCATCTTTACCGGTACGTTTAGGGGACAGGTGCAAATTCTTTCGAATTTGACACAGACGCTGGGCTAACACTAACCTTGGTAGCAATTTCCGATCCTTCAACACCTTCTTTCAACAAAATTTCAATTTTTGCACGCTTTTGAAAGGTTAGGTCATGTAATTCACCAAGGAATATCTTAATACAATCTAGAAACCGTCAGCAATAAAGCGGAATGCCTGTAGCTCGGGTTATCTGTTCAGGTTTGGGCTTGTTCTACGAACTGAACTATTTCGTTGCAGACGTCGATCAACGTGGTTCGGTCGTTACTTGAAAAGATACCTTGATATCGTGGCCGCCCAATTTAAAAGACGTTTACATACAGCGATTCGTTGGGCATTCAATGCTGCCAAATTCTCCCCCAGTTGGGAGATCAGGAAGTTGCCTATGCCTACAGTGAAGCCTACTCAACCGATCTCCGCCACAACCTATTGTATTTACCAATTCGTTTGTAACTGTGGAAGTAGTTACATTGGCAGAACAGAAAGATCCTTGGGTAAGCCCATTGGAGAGCATATCGCAAAACGGACTGCTAAACTATCGACCCGACAAGCAGCCGAGCGAGAAAAGGTATTTAAGCTGCCGGCATCATCTATCGCAGACATCTACTCGAAACAGGCCACCAGCTTGACCCTGGGTCAACATTTACAGTTATCTATCGAAATGAAAACCCCAAAATTTTAAGGTTTGCCGAAGCGGGGGCACTTAACCGGCATCGCCCTATCCTTTGTGTACAGAAACAATTAACAGTCTCCTTGAAGCTTTCTTGGGGCTCATGACCCTAAGATCAAGCTCGTTGATCAGTTATTCTTGCGTCTAGGTAGTTTTCATTTGTTACCAGTTTCAAACCTTTGCTTTTTGGGTCACGTGATTCATATTTATGTTGTTAGCTTGCGAGTGAGCATATAACACGAAATGTTTCCATCTCGCAACACCAGTGTTCTCATTGTCTTATTTAGAATGATAAAGGGAACTCAGTGCTTTAAAATAAAAGTGATTAAATAGCATTATAAACTGAACGAAAATCAGACGAATGTAATCCAGAAATGCAGGTTTCAGTGGCAAATAAAAAATTAAGCTAAAAAATATAACCGTCGGTGTACACAACTACTGTGCAAGTAACATCAACCAACTCGTCATTGTTTGCCAAACCCATGCACTCCATGCCTTTGCGTGTTAACTCCTTGAAAATTGGGGGGTCAGTTTTGGATATTACCCCACGTTAATCCAATATTGACCCTCCAATTAGTCATTTACCGTCGTGCCAAGCGTTACCCACCGTGACCCGGTAGTCAAAGGCGTAGAGGTTTCGACTACTATTCCAATGGTCGCGGATTCGAGGCATGCTATCTCCACCTGATGAGAGGAAATAACATCGAAACGCATCGTGGTTGCGCAGTGTTTTCGGGCGGGCAACACCCAAGTTCCATCTGCTTTGAGTACGGTCCTAGTGATCGCAGTGATTAAGGTTCACTTCAATGTGAACCACAGTCCATTACATTGAGAGTGCGCGTCGCAATCCAATCACACAACGTGTAGTCCAAACTTGACCCTCCAATTAGTCATTTACCGTTGTGCCAAGCGTTGCCCGCCGTGAACCGGTAGCCAAAGGGGTAGAGATTTCGGCTACTATTTCAATGCTCGCGGGCTCGAGGCCTGCTATCTCCACCTGATGAGATGAAATTACATCGAAACGCACCGTGGTTATGCAGTGTTTTCTGGAGGGCAACACCCAATTTCCACCTTTGAAAATTGTCATAGGATCATTTACAAAATACTAATCTTGATGAATGTCTAATCAATATATGTTTTTCTTGTAAAATGCAAGCATTTTACAGTAGAATCATTTGATTCTTACGAGAAATGTGAAGAAAATTTGCTGCATTCAACAAATTTATAATAATTTGGCCAACATTGTACGAGTGATATCTGTGTGCATCCTATAGCAAAGCTTTTCGAACCCAAGCAGGTGCTATGAGGCGTCAACCCAAAGGCACCACTTAAAATGTGAACTACATTCTTTGTATCTGCGTGATAACACCCAGCATGCTGGTTCTGTACAGCTAAGCGCGGTCCCTTAATGCAATACAGTCTGATAGATAGCTCTCAAATGGTATCATGCAGGGAAACGTGCATATGTTTTAAGTTCCGAGTACAGGTACCAATGGATAGCGTATCAACAGAATGTCACGTACTCTAACAGCACTGGTCACGCGGACGCTTGAAGCGGATTATCGGACACCTTTCTCGTAAAAAGTGGCGCCAGTCAATGGTTCAGTTTGCGGCCACTTTCATTGTGCGGTACTCACGAAGTGTTGACACGTGAAGCCTAGTTGTGCAGGTACTGAATTTCTCACCGCAGGAAAACTGGTTAATCTGGAGCAAAGGGGCCAAATCATTCCCACTGAGGGGTTGGGGGGGGGTGAGAAGTCAATTCTCTATGATCTCTTTAGAAAGGCCCAATCTTTCGTTCTGCATCCTGCGCCTTCCAAACACTAGGTGTTATCAAAATGCTGCTATATGATCGTTGGTCTTTCGAAGCTTGCCATTGAGGAATAATTCGCACATTTGCTCGAACCAACCGTCTTGGCAGCCACATTTGAAGCGACGGGTTTATGAATGTCGTAAAAGTCTGAACTACCTTTATGCATATTCGGCAGCTGGAATCACTAATGAGACTTAGACTGTATTTAAGACCAAGTAGAAAAGTTTATGTACAACTATCGAATTATGAAAAAATCACAAACATTTAATTACGAATGGTCAGCAGCAGTGTTTTGTCAGTTACTGGTTTATCCTTGTTCGATTAGGAATTCGTATTGATGTCGTTATTTCTGGGTATACTATGTCTTCTTTTGGCATAGTATATGCACTGTTTCACAAAAGCATAGGTTTCCGAAATAATCATCGATACGTGTTTTAAAACACGTCAAACAATCGCCCTCTATTAATCCTTTTGGTAGTGTATTCCATAAGTTTACGATGTTTCGTTCTACACAAACCTGATGTGATAATTTGTTCATGCAGGGGAGCCTGAGTTTGTAACGGTGTCGTCAGTTGTTTCAGGGTTCCCGCAGATGGAACAACGGTTTATTACGGGTAAAAAAGCATCGCTTAACAAGTCCCGTGGGATGGAAATTATTGCGAAAATCAACTGCATGATAAAGTGAAAAGCGTTGTGGCGGACTCACCATAGACTTATGCCGAATAGCGGAGATGTTCGCGTATTAAACGTATAAATACATCAATCCATTGGTTAGGCGTTTGGCAAGACACCGTTTGATCGCGTTTTGTAGCCCCTGGATAACAAGTCATAAAATGAAATGTGAGTGAGACA